AGTCGTGCCCTGATAGGACATGTGTATACTAGGCCTCTTATATAATGCGGGGGTAGACTCACGATGTAACCTATGCCAACATAATAGCACAAACACGCAGGGGGAATATGCGGCTCGTGCTGGCATCCAGGTGGCCGGCCTGCGGTATTGTGAGGGTGTCATGGGGAGGACCCAGGGATGTAGCCGAGCTTGGTGAACCTCGTGAACAGATCTCGATGTCGTGCCTTGTGCGACTGCTTGGCGCTTGGATGATCGACTATGCGTCACGGATTATTCTAACATCTACAACAAGGTGTCCAAGGTATACTTTCTTTGAGAATGAGATATTCCTTTTCCAGACCTGGCCACTTCTATACCAAGTACTTGAGTCGACCATGATCTTTAACTACAAAGGCACCTTAGACACCTCTTTAACCTTGCTATCTCTAGTCACCATCACCGGTGACAATGATATCATCTACATAAACTTCGAGGATGGTTATGTTTCCCTTTAGAGTGTCTATGAAACAATGTATGGTCACCATTGCATTGTCCATACCCCATGTCACATACCGCCCGTCTAAACTTGTCAAACCAAGCTCTTGGAGACTACTTCGGTCGCGAAGAGTTTTCTTTAGCCTGCATACCTTGTCAGCCGTCTCAAAAGTCGAGAACCCAGGTGGGATCTCCATGTAGACCTCCTCCTTTAAGTCCCCATGCAAGAAAGCATTCTTCACATCAAGTTGATGTAAAGACATTCTTCACATCAGTGTTCATCTTCGCTACTGGAGCAAAGGTCTCGTCATAGTCAATGTCACAGGTCAGGCTGTACCCCCTTGCCAAAAGCCTCGTTTTGTACAATCTAATCTTTCCTTCTGCATTCTGCTTCACAGTGTATACCCACTTGCAGTTGACTACTTTTTTTCTTGTTGGAAGAGGTGTTAGTACCCATGTCTTGTTCTTACACAAAGCCTCCAACTCCTCCACCATGGCCATACACCATTTTGAGTCCTCCTTTGTCTTCTACCAGTCAGTCGGAATTGACATAGACTAAAGAGAAGCAAAAAATGCTTTATAGGTTGGAGATAGTGCTTCATAGGAAACATAGCTCCCAATATCATTGACATTGAACCCATATAGTTTCTTTGGTATCCCTGTTGTTGTTCGAGTAGTTCTCCTCAAAAGCAATTTGCCCATCAATCGACCCTTCTAGTACCTTTCAGCCTAATCCCTATCAGAGGAGATGGAAGTTACATCAGTACTACCCTATTGTTTCATCAGTGGATGATCTAGTTGCTCCCTCGAATGTGCAACACCATTACCATGCTTCCATGAATACACCTTGAGTTGCTCCTCTTGCGCGCAACCTGTGAAATTGGTGTTGATGCTTTTGTTGGTGTGTAGGATTAGCTTATTGCTCTTCAGATGTGCCTTCCAAGTTACAGTTGGCGGGTTTCTTTACGAAGGCCCAAACGAAGTGTTGTTGATCCACATTAAGTTTGAGGGGGGGTTAGCAATAAGAACATGTACATAAGGGGTTTTCTGCGTATTGTACTGCACATGTACATGTATATATATGGAAATACAAGTTGCATACTTCCTAACACTTACCACCCTTAGCAAATTAAATCCTATGACATAATCACAAAATTGTAACATGCCGAAGAGAAAGTCCCACTAGAGTAGAGCATGGGACATTTTAAAATACAGTGTAACAGGGGAGGCAACTACTCAACCTCTCCAAACCAAACTTACATGTTCTATCCAAGTTGAATGACACTTTCTTTGGTTCAAACTTCTTCATAAACACAGCTGTGCCTGCGTATTTGGAATCTGAAAGGGACCACCAGACACGGTAGTCTTTGAAAGGTGAACTCGACAAAGCACGCAGCACTGTCTGCATGACATCAAGAAGTAATTGTAGAATTTTTTAGTTAAGCACAACTAATGCAGCTGCTGCAACAACCTATGCTGAAAAGAGAAAATAGATGGAAACTAAGTTGAAACTTATTCATAACTGTTTCCTGCTAAATAAAGAGTCACCACAACACAGCAACACTTCAGAATGCAACTGATATAAATCAAGTCCAATTTTACATAATCTAGAGTAAATTTCTCAAAAACAGATATACTCTTGCAAAACTATCAGAAATCACCCTTTTAAGAAGCATTTCCAATAGACTACACATGTATTGCAAAAACAGAGCTTTTACAAAGCCTTTTCAAGGAACTACACATCTTATCCATAATGCAGAAATTTAATTTCAGCCAGAACCAATGGATCTGACATACGGGATCCACTTTTCATAACTACAGGGTACAGGGCTGCTCCCTTAGTATTACCTGTTTTTCTTCGCGTGATGAGGTTGTGTCGTCTTTTAGCTCACTAGGATTTTTAGGTGCCCCTTTGGAACCAGCTGCTGGCATCCGCACTTCCTGGCAAGTGGCAAAGAAGTTCAGAGAAGATCCTACTCACTGATATATATACATAATATGCTTAGATTGTTGAGCTAAAAAATAAAGTAGACAACCTAACCGGAGAACAGCATAACAGTTGCGATTACTGGTTAAGAGTACAAAACAAACCAACAATTTGTGGCTAGGGCAACTAAACACCAAAAAGGACAAACAATAATATTATTAGGCTGCTAAGTTGTCATAACTCATACTCCCTCCGTCCGAAAATACTTGTCATCAAAATGGATAAAAGGGGATGTATCTAGATGTATTTTAGTTCTAGATACATCTCTTTTTATCCATTTTAATGACGAGTATTTTCGGACGGAGGGAGTAATAAACTAAAGGTATTGGAATTGAACAGAAATAAAGACCTTGGCCTGTCAGTTTTACAACCCAAAAGTGAGGTTTGGTATAAAGTATAAACCCTGTTCTACTCTATACTGCAATAAAACAAGAACCCAAGGCGGATTGGGATTTCAACTATGAGCTACAATTTCAGAAAGAGGCTAGGGTTAATCGATCCATCATATCCAGACAGCAGAATAATGTAGAAAACATAAGTTTTCTCAAATAATGATTCAGCTTGAGAAGTACTTCACTGTATGGCCTATATTTTGTTGTAATTGTACTATTGCTGCAAATCAGCACATGGTATAGGTACGAGTACTTGTTGTAGCAGCAGACAGTGGCTAATTGAGCTACCAAATAACTGGGATTGGAACACTAGGACTGACATAAGTAACAGATAAACCAAAACAAGGTTTTCACATTTTCTTTCCGCAATATTGCCAACATTAATCCAAGATAAGTTGATAACAAGAAACAGGCAAGTAGATATCAGTTCAGTGATTTAAGAATATTTTCATAGCATTCAGTCTGTTTCACAAAATGCTCAACACAACCTCTGCAAACACCACCCTAGCCTTTAAAACCATTAACACTGCATGTTCTCTACTCTCAATGGTACACAGCCTTGCTGTATCATGAGCAAATATAGCGCAGCATGCCTAACAACCAGAAAAATGCACAGCAGGAATCCTTGGTCTGCATAATCAATCACTAGCTACTCAGCTAAGACAACTGGCACGATCAATCTAGCGAGGGATGCAGCACGCCGGCTTCAGATGGGTCAAACCCTAGATTACCAGAACTGGATTAATCTTGCACAAAAGGGCAACAAATATGTGCACGCCCCAATGTGCTAGATGAAATGCCTGCAAGCAACGGCAGCTCTTGCGTGCCACATTGCAGCGCACTCGCCTAAACATCCCTCCGAGCGGCACATATCATTGCAGGCTAAGATCAAACCCTTAGGGTAGCAAGCAAATCCAGACATAGAGGAAGGGCGTCGAATGAATCCCTCTTTGCCTTGGCTCACCTGGACGCAGATGACGTCGGGGTCGACGCGGGCGACGAACTGACAGAACGCGGACCAGTCGCTCTTCATCCGGAGCAGAAGGCTGTTGGCGTTCCAGGTAACGAACCTGCGTGGCTCCTCGCCGGGAGGGCCATCCCCGCCGGCGTCGGCCGCGGTGGGGGCGGGGCCATCAGCGCAGTCAGAGGTCGCAACTCCGGCGGGCCTCTTCTTGGCGGGGGAGCCGTCCTTGAGTACGGGCTGGAAGAAGCGCTTCATGGCCGGCCGGTGCGGCTGCGCTCTCGGCAGCCGCCAGCAGAGGAGGGAACACCGGAAAGTGAAGCAACGACGGGGCAATTGTTTTTTATTTTTTGCCGATAAAGGGCGCCGTCCGATATACACTAGTATCTTATAAGGCCCAAGAAGCCCGGCAGCATCTCGGCCCAAGAAGCCCGTCCACGATGCACAGCCGCCTCCGCGACACTCTCCGTTCTTCTCGCCGGTCCTTCCTCGACGGCTCGACCCCCACTGCGCCGGCGCTGCCGCGGAGCACCTCGGACGGCTTGCAAATCAGGACATCCATGCACAGCGCACGCCCTAATTCTATCATATCGTGCCCCAGGTAGACCTCAAACCCGTCCCACGTCCGGCCGTCCCCATGACATGCCGAGCTTGCTGTCCCGCTCGCCCCCGGCAAGGTGCCGGCAGCCGGGTCGCGGCACCCTTGTTCTCCCGGCGGCTTCCCACTTCGTCTCAGGGATTCGCTGCCACCAGTACCCAAAAAGCTCTCCTCGCCTCACCTTTGCCCACGCCGCCAAACACACCTTCGGGCTTGCTTCCACTGAGGCACGCCGCCTCCAGGTTCGTCCACCTTTCCTCCACCGGACTAGCGTGCGGACTCGGAAGATTTCTTCATGTTTCGGTAAGGATCCCTAGCGTTGCTTGGAATTGCTGCCTCTTCGGGTCCTTTCTTTGCTGTTACTAGTACAGTATAATCAAATCCAAACCTCTCTTCTTCCTCTCATTTAGTTACTGACCATATATAACACCATGCACCATTTTGATTTACATTTTTCTAATAAAATGTGTTGCCGCAGCCTACAAAGCAACTGGTTTGCACAACTTGCTAAACAATGACGCTATTCAGGATGAATTTGATTCTGAGAGATCGGCGTCTCCTTTCTCGGTTGCTGGATTTTTTAGCAGGATGTCATTCTGGTGGATAAATCCCTTGATGAAGAAGGGTTACAGAAAGCCTCTTGAAGAGAAAGACATACCTGCGTTGGATGTTGCAGATCAAGCAGACACTCAGTACTCAATGTTTGTGGACAAGATCAATGCTAAGCAATCATCTCTTTTCTGGGTAATAGTGTCATGCTACAAAAGGGACATTCTGTTTTCTGGGTTCTTCGCTTTGCTCAAGGTACTCACTCTATCTTCTGGTCCGTTGCTCGTAAAGGAATTTATCAATGTATCGTCAGGAAAAGAAGCTTTCAAGAATGAAGGTGTTGTGATAGCTCTTGGACTTCTTCTGTCTAAATGCTTGGAGTCATTAGCCCAGAGACAGTGGTATTTTCAAACACGGAGGGTGGGAATCCAAGTGAGGTCACTCTTGTCTGCTGCTATTTACCGAAAGCAACAGAAATTATCATGCTTTGCCAGTATAAAACATTCTTCTGGAGAGATAATGAACTATCTCATAGTAGATGCATACAGGGTCGGGGAGTTTCCTTTCTGGTTCCATCGGACATGGACTACTGGCCTCCAACTCGGCATTGCCTTGGCAGTACTGTACGACGCAGTTGGTCCTGCAACAATAGCGTCTGTGCTTGTTATAATGCTTAGTGTTCTACTGAATGCCCCTCTGGCCAGGCAACAACAAGATTTCCAGAAGAAACTCATGGAAGCTCAAGACATGAGGTTGAAATCTATGTCCGAGTCTCTTGTGAACATGAAGGTCCTGAAGCTTTATGCATGGGAGGCCCACTTCAAGAGTGTTATAGAACATCTTAGGGAGTTGGAGCTAAAATGGTTGTCAGCATTCCAGCTAGGAAAAGCATATACTAGTGTTGTCTTCTGGGCATCACCTGCACTTGTTTCAGCGGCAACATTTATCGCATGCTATTTTCTGGGAGTCCCACTTAATCCTAGCAATGTATTCACCTTTGTAGCTGCACTGCGCCTTGTTCAGGACCCTATCAATCATATTCCAAACGTTATTGGCTCTGTAATTCAAGCAAGGGTTGCATTTTCTCGGATAAGCAGTTTTCTTGGTGAATCTGAGCTGCCAAAGGATCAAATTTCGATGGAGCATTGTGTGTGTAGTCAGTATCCTATAGTAATCAAATCTGGCTGTTTCTCATGGGACAGCTCAGGAAATTCAAATCTGAGGAATATTAGTTTGGAGGTGAAAGCAGGAACAAAGGTAGCAATCTGTGGCGAGGTTGGCTCAGGAAAATCCACTCTTTTGGCAGCTATTCTGGGAGAGGTCCCAAGGACAGAAGGAATGGTATATTTTTGCTGCTTTGTGTTTTAATTACTTTGCTAACCAATAATCATAATAATGATGTATGTTATTCTGGAACCTCCCTTTCTACCATCAACTTATTATCCATTTAGAATTGTCACATGGTTAGCATGTAGTGTACTACTTACTCTACTGTGTTGCAGCTATGAGTCTAGCTTACAGTAAATGTGTTTGGGTTATACTAACAAAACTACCTTTTGTAATCTAAAGAGTGAGGTTATAACATTTTGTTCTGTCTATAGTATTGGATCAAATTATGGAAATTAAACTTTTTGTCCTCGCGCGTAGGTTGTGGCTGCAACACACCGCTCCTTAGTGTCATTTTCCAATCCCTTGTTCAGAGCATGAGTGTGCCATGTTCAATGCTGCCACAAGAATCTTCGTCGGGGGTTGGGACAATATTTATTATAGGAATTGATAGGTGGTTAAATGGCTTCTCTGTCGAGACAATTGCTCCACACCACTATGCCGCTATTCCTCGTGCTATCCGCAACAAACACACAGTTGCAGTGACTCTCCAAAATCATCACTAGCTCACTGACAAATAAAGGCCGCTTGCTCTTGCTGTATTCATCCTACTTATTGTCAGGGAGGAATTTAGGGCTGAAGCTTACAACCTGGTGCCCCTGACGTCTGTCGTGGTTCTCGGAATCCTCAGGTTCTTACTCCACCTGCTTTGCTTATCTCACATGCATCGCAGCCTCAGTGGCCTTGAAACCTTCCGAGTTTATCCGGCAAAGGGCCCCTTTATGCTGGAAAATTTTCGTTTGACTTGTGATTTGCAAACGCGTCTGGATGGCTGATCGCTTAGCCAGCTGTGGGCTCTGTCATAACGCCAACTGGCCACTGTGCAACGATCATGGAGAAATATTGATCACCTATTGGTGCGATGCAGTATTTCAGGCATCCGGTGGAGTAGTGTTTTTTTCTTGGGCTCATCTCCTAATCTCACACCCACCCCACAGCTAATGCTTCCCTAAAGATTAGTGGATCAACTCCTATGACACTCAACCAGCTTTTCGAGGCGATTAGAGCTGAGTGTCAACTCTAGCAAAGGGCTAGAGCTAAGGGATTGGTTGTTCCCTTCCCTTAGTTTGCCTATTAGTCGCTCTGTGGTCACTTTTTGTTTGCTTTTCTGGTTGTCAGCATGTCTTTCCTATTATAACTCTTGAACCTCTAGTACCGGATCTATAATTAGTTGGAATTGTTTTTTCATGAGAAATGTACATTATGCATAGTGCTTAGTTATAATAATGACTGTGTTATTAGTTTGGTTAGTGCAATTAAAAAACAGTTGCACCACCCTCCTATTCCACTAAGTGGGAGAAGACAGGTTGGAGAAAAGTTAATTTTTTGTTGTTACTTACTGCTTATTTCATAGATATCTTCAATTAATATATTTTTAAAGTAATGTCTCTTAACATGTTTAGTAAACCTGTATATGATATATTGTAAGACAGCAAAACAGAGGTCTAAATTTGGATTTCCAAGGGATGAAACTTTCAATGTATATTAATAATTTGTGAGTGTGGACTGTTACACTTTTTTTTCGAGTACTAATTTCATTGCTGAACATAATTGCAGAGTCATGTTTGTGGGAAAATTGCATATGTTTCTCAGGATGCATGGATTCAAACAGGAACTTTGCAGGAGAACATACTTTTTGGGTCTAACATGGACAAGCGAAGATATGAAAACACTCTCCGGCGGTGTTCTTTGGTGTATGACCTTGAAAGCTTGCCTTTTGGTGACCGTACTCAAATTGGGGAAAGAGGAGTTAATCTTAGTGGAGGACAGAAGCAACGTGTCCAATTAGCTCGCGCATTGTATCATGATGCAGATATATATCTTTTGGATGATCCTTTCAGCTGCGTTGATGCACATACTGCTGCAAGTCTTTTAAATGTAGGGGTTATTCATTGGCATCTTAGTTTAGTTACATGAGTCTCCAATTTTTCTAAATTCTAGTGATCATTCTTTTGCAGGAATATGTGATGGGAGCTTTATCTGAAAAGACAGTTCTGTTAGTAACCCACCAAGTGGAGTTCCTACACGCATTTGATTCTGTTGTCGTAAGTATTGACTCTTTATTCAACTATTGGCATTTTGAGAGGTTACATGCATGTTTCATTGCCGAGATAGAGGCTCGACCAGGCTTGTCGGATGCAATCATGTAAGGTTACCCCGCAAAAAAAAGTAAGGTTTCCTAGCTTCCCCTTCAAGATCCTGCAGGGGTTGAGTGTCGGGCCCAACTGACATACATGAATCAAGCTTTCTTCCTGATCCAGTCCTTGCTAATATGCATGTTAACCCTGGGTGATTGCTGCATATTATAGGATATTTTTGTATATTAATTTTGTATACTAATAAGGGTCAATCAAGTAAAATAAGTGATTATTAGTAAAAACCAAAGTATTTGCTAATATACCAATTTTAGGATTCATGATGTGAGTGCAGGGAAGCACGGGGATCTCCTCTTATGCTTAACAAAGGGGGAGGGTAGGGGGCTTCATTACCACCTTGAATAAACAGAGTAGGCTTAGAAGTGTTTAATTGCAAGGATCAGATAATAGTGGGGTTTATAGGGCAATTTACGTTTGGCATTTGGCTATAAGCATATATTCATCTCATGTTTCATGGCTATTTTTTTTTCTTTCTCCCTTTCATTATTGAGGTGGTGCTGCCGGTGTTCCTGGGTAGTAACAGATTTGAAGTGATTCCTACCACCTGTTCTATTATTAAATTGGTTGCACTACAGAATTGCGACTTAAGTTAAATTCTGCATTAAATCATCATAAGGAAGCAACCATATGAAATTCATCACTGTATTGTGCTTTCTCAGCTATTGACAAGATACAGTTTGGTCATCCTTCGGTGCATGGGGAACTCCTACTATTTTGTTGACAGACAGTAACTTGTCTTTTGGCAGTTAATGTCCCATGGACAGATCATGCATGCTAGTTCATACCAAGAACTGCTAGTGTCTTCCAAACAATTTCAGGACCTTGTGAAAGCACATGAAGTCAGTACAGACTTTCCTAATGTTAAAAAAAGGGCTTATAATGTAGGCAAGCAGTTTGAAAGGGACGCCGGTGTTATTCACGGTATGGCAAAAGAATCCATCAAGTCATCAGCATCTGATCAACTAATTAAAACAGAGGAGAGAGAAATTGGTGACACTGGACTGAAGCCTTATTTAATGTATTTGGGCCAGAACAAGGGCTACATATATGCTAGTCTTGTTGCTGTTACTAACATTATTTTTGCATCTGGGCAAATATTTCAGAACTCATGGCTTGCTGCTAATGTTCAAAATCCCTGTGTAAGCACATTGAACCTTGTTCTGGTGTATACAGCCATTGGATTTGGTTCAATCATTTTCTTGCTATCTAGAGCTCTGTTAGTAGTTGATCTTGGTCTCCGGACATCAAGACCTCTATTTGCCCAACTACTTAGTGCCCTATTCTGTGCACCCATGTCTTTCTACCATTCCACTCCACTTGGAAGGATACTTAGCCGTGTAAGTACTAAGAAATGGTAGTACTATATGAATCTCGTTTATTTTAGTTTGACCCATGATAATTATAAATTAGGCAGCAAGTAATAACTCCATGCTGCAGGTATCATCTGACTTAAGCATCATCGATCTTGATCTTCCATTTACAGTGTCCTTCAGTATTTGTGCCACACTAAATGCATATATCAATTTGAGTGTTTTGTGCTTCTATACCTGGCAAATTTTGCTTGTTGCTGCACCTGTTATCATCATGGCTGTCAAATTGCAGGTAAGCTTGTATAATCCCATTTACGCATGATCTAGACTCTATAGGCTCTTAATACATGACCTGCTTTTACTGAAATATAACATTACAGAGATACTACTTAGCCTCCTCAAAGGAATTGATGAGGATCAATGGCACTACAAAATCTCTAGTGGCCAATCATCTTGGAGAATCAATTGCAGGAGCAGTTACAATAAGAGCCTTTAAGCAAGAAGATCGTTTTTTTGCTAAAAGTTTGGAGCTTATTGACAATAATGCAAGCCCATCTTTTCACTGCTTTGCTGCAACTGAATGGTTGACTCAACGTTTGGAGATAATGGCTGCTGCTATTCTTTCCTCGTCCACACTTGTTATTACTCTTCTTCCTGCAGGAACTTATAGCCCTGGTGAGATGCGTGAAACTTTATTCAAGGGAATATTTATGCAATGTTTTGTAACCATTAGTTAACTTGCTCTTTTGCCCTTAGTGCTAACCTGTGTTTTTGTAAAGAATTTAGGTACAAGATGTGGAAGATTATATTGCATTGTTTTCCCTGTCAATAAATAAAAATTATATATTGCACGTGGTTCCTTTTCTCAGAGGATTACCCTTCAGTGTATATCTCGCTAATCACCATCTCGAGCCAAACTGCCATCCCATAGCTGTTACACAGTACCATCTTTTTTTTTCAAAAAGGGGATAACCCTGGACTTACATAGTACTACCTCCATCCTGAAGTACTTGTCACAGAAATGGATGTACTTGTCACAGAAATGGATGTATCTAGAACTAAAATACATCTAGATACATCCATTTCTGCGACAAGTAATTCCGGACGGAGGGAGTACCATCTAGTTCTGGGTTTCTTTGATGATCTTTTGTTGCATGATTCATCTTTGATTTCAGTCATTTGTCTTGGTCTCTGGTGCTCCCAGCTCTTTTTCTAGCTTCACACATCTTGCTCCCTTGCTCTTCCATCCTCAAGAGGTTGCTTGATTCCAAGTAATTTTGTCGAGACGAGGTCATAACATTAACCATCCATTTCACAGCATGGCAAATTTGGAAGAACCACAAAATGATTCTCTTGCTATTATCATGCATATGTAGTTCTATGTTCCTGTAATGTTTTTTCTTATAGAATTTGGCATAGGCTAGTTTACCATTCTATAGAATTGCATCATTTCCTTTCCTTTTAGTAGTTTTTGAGCACATGAAATGAGAATTAGATTAAGATTAGCTCATAATTATTAATGTTGGCTTATACAATTCTGCAGGTGCTCTAGGGATGTTGCTCTCTTATGGTCTGTCACTTAATATGTTATTCCTGTTCTCTATACAAAATCAATGTTCTCTTGCAAATCAAATAATCTCTGTTGAAAGGTTGAGCCAATACATGGGTATTGTAAGTGAGGCACCATATATTATGAAACAGAATCAACCACCGGATGCATGGCCCTCTGTGGGTAAGATAGAACTTGAAGGTTTGGAGGTAGGTGATGAAAAATAAATTTCTTGTTTATCGTCCATAGACATGACCAGTATTAATTTCTCATGCATTGTACATAACGCAATTGATATTTGTGTTAGCAGATAAAATATAATCAAGATGCTTCTCCAGTACTTCATGGAATTACTTGCACATTTCAAGGTGGCGATAAAATTGGGATAGTCGGTCGAACAGGAAGTGGCAAGACAAGTTTGATAAATGCAATTTTTCGTCTTGTTGAGCCTTCTGGAGGAAAGATAATCATTGATGACTATGACATAACAGAAATGGGGTTACATGACTTGCGATCTCGAATTGGTGTTATCCCTCAAGATCCTATACTCTTTTATGGTTCCATAAGATATAATTTGGATCCTCAAGGGCGTTTCTCGGATGAACAAATCTGGGAAGTAGGTTTCCATATGCTGTTACTATAATTTGATTATTTTCTATTTTCCCTGTTAAAATAATTTAGCATTCGTTCCTCAATGTTTTTTCTATGATGAAACAAGAATAGTTAAGAGAAAAGAAGAACAAAAGTAGACGCTCTCACATGCATCCATGAGTTATAATAATCAATAAATGATCTCATTATCTTTGTAAAAGATGGTATTTTATGTTTTCAGACTATACCCCAGATGGAATGCTCCTTGGTGGTCAGTATATTACATTCCTCCTGAGTGTTTTTCAATCATAGTTAGATAACCTGATCTTTGCATCTCTATAGCAATCTAGTAAACCAGTTGGTAGTGTTTGAATATTGTGATATGTTGCTGAAATTATTATATTGAACAATTTCTGGCATGGTAGCATGGAAGTGCTATGGCATGGTAGCATGGAAGTGCTAGCACCTTGCAAGCCTTAGGTGGCAACACTGCTGAAATATACTGCTAAAGGAAATATTTGCGCTATTACACAATTTAGTACTAGTCCACTCTTCCTAATAAATAGCTTATTGAAAACTAAGGAAGCATTTCTGAATTAACCTTTGCCAGGTTCTAGGAAAATGTCAACTAATTGAAGCAGTTAAAGACAAGCAAGGATTGGATTCACATAGTAGGTCTTTTCAACCTATTCTCTTTTACAGAACTTGCTGTAATTATGTCACATTTCTTTTACTTGCTTTGCCCAACAGTTGTGGAGGGAGGATCAAACTGGAGCATGGGCCAAAGGCAGTTACTTTGCTTGGCCCGTGCGCTATTGAGAAGAAACTGCATCTTGATCCTTGATGAGGCAACAGCATCCATCGATACTGCAACTGATGCTATTATTCAGAAGATAATCAGGACGGAATTCAAGGACAGCACAGTTATCACAGTTGCACATCGGATACCAACAGTGGTGGACTGCACCTGGGTACTTGTTATTAACAACGGTATGCATGCATCTAATCAGTCTTTATGGCTTTTCATGATTGTTTTCAAGTTCGCATGTGGTGTTAAATTACAAATATTGTTTGTTGCCAACTACCAAGAGACTCTTTCAGAAAATGAACGTGCAAGTGGTTCTTGCCCTCAACTCATTATTCGGTACGACCATGTTGCAGTGTGCTAGTATGGTTCCATCAGTCTTCATGAGTTGGACCCAACTCTTAAAACAACCAGCAGGTCTTATTTACATTTGTAAGTTGCACATATAGTGTATAAACAACACATTGCAGCAATAACTTTTGAGAGAAGTCCATATTATAACCCTGAACTTTTCGGTTTGTCTAAGATTCAACGCCGAACTCTAAAACCGGTTAAGATTCAACCCTGAACTATCAAAACCGGCTAGTATTTAACCCTTCTCTCCCTTGAATCTTGTTTTGACCCGTTGACCATCCAGTCAGCATCCCAGTCAGCAGCCACATCAGCGTTTTGACTGTCCAGGCAAAAAATGAAATTTGATGCTATTTATAGTTCCTTTGAGCCAAAATGTCTGAACATTTCCGAGAATGATCAGTATGTTATTCTATATTTTACAGAAGTTTTTTAATTTTTCTGGATACTTTCATTTGTTTGGATGAAATTTGACCAAAATTGGGGCTGAAAATGTAATTTCAGGGTATTTATAAATATTTGGCAAAAAAACTGAAAATTTCTCAGAATGATCGACATGCTATTATTGATTTTACAGAACTATTTCAAAAATTTCTGGTTACTTTTATTTTTTGGCCAAAATTTGACCAAAAAAGGGGCTGAAAATGTAATTTCAGGTTAATTTTAAATAAATTTGGCAAAAAAACTATGAAACTTTCCCAGAATGATAGTATACCATTGTTGATTTTACAAATTATTTCAAATTTTCTTGAGACTTTTAGTTTTGGCTAAAATTTGACCAAAATAGGGGCTGAAAATATAATTTCAGATTATTTTTAAATCTGTTTGGCAAAAAAAAACTGACGTTGGCTGCCTATTGGGCTGCTGACTGGACGGTCAATGGGTCAAAACCAGGCCTCCTCAGGGAAAACCAGATTCAGGGAAGAGAAGTGTTGAATCCTAGCCGGTTTTGATAGTTTTGAGCTGAATTTCATCCGGTTTTAGAATTCGGGATTGAATCTGACAAATGGAAGATTTCAGGGTTGTAATATGGAAATACAAATGTAAAACTGACAGTACTTTTTTTGGGACCAACTCTAAAATCAATTGGCAGGTGATTGTCGAAGATGGGCTCGTACATCAGTTTGAACGCCCAAAATAAATAGTTAGGGATGCCCCCTGCCTCCCAACCACACCATCACCACGCAGGCACACACAGGGACTGTTGGAGACCCTTCATCTGAGAACATAGCCATGGCTGGGAGGAATTGGGGAATGTCACACCTTGCCACTTGTCCAGTGTGACTTGGCAATCTCGATCGGGCCCCACCTGTAGGCTGTAGGTGTGCGTGTGTGTGAGAGACTTGGGTATAAAGCTAGCCGCCTATGGCAGCGAGAGGCACACGTGATCGATAGACTGTACTCTCACCTAATCATCCCTCTGAAAGTATCTTCTTCCTCTCCAAGTCTCTCCTCCTCTTTGATTTCCTCACCTACCCGATTCCGATCCCCTCCTCTCTGTTGGTTCATTACAGTTGGTATTCAGAGCCAGATCGCCAGAAATTTTTTCTTCCTTGTTGTTGGTCGCAGATCGGTAACATCCACCGCGCCAGTACGAACTGCTCCGGCAAGCCGCACGAAATCCGTCACGGGGTTCGATCTCTTCCAAAGCAGGGCGACAGCGCCCCAAAAAGCTTCGGCAGCGACACGGCAAGTGTTGGCCGCCATGGACGAGGGCAACAGCAACATCACCAAGATGCTTGAGTCGCTCCTCACCAAGGTGGATGAGCATAAGGCCCCGCACGACAAGCATATCGAGATGCAGGCCGCCTTCAACACACAGATCACGCAAGAGGTGCGCGGGCTCGCCAAGCAGATCGATCTGACTCAGGCGGACGTCGTGGGGGCGCGCAAGGCGGTCGAGGGCTCGGCGTCTCGGGCGGGCTCGGTCACCATGTTGCTACACCAGCCCGCGCCGTAGTAGCAGCCACCGCCACCTCCTCCATCATCGCCGTGCCCCGCCCCAGATCCGGCCCGCCTGTCTTCCTCCCACGCGCGCCTAGGGGATAATCGCCCACCGCTCATCCTAGTTCCCCCGCACGACGGCTTCCTCGCGACGGCGACCCCCTCTTCACCAACGGACTACAACAACAATGAGTACCACAAGCCCCCGAAGCACGATTTCCCCAAGTTCGACGGCACCGCTCCATATCTATGGCTCGATCGCTGCCTCGCCTACTTCGAGCTCTACAAGGTTGTGTCGCACCACTGGGTGGCCACCGCGGCTCTCTACATCGACGGCTAGGCCGCGCACTGGTTGTAGGCATTTCGTCAAACACACCGCAACATCACGTGGGAGCTCTTCACTGTGGCGGTCCTGGAGGAATTCGACACGGACAAGTTCGAGGTGGTCATGCACAAACTACTCCAACTCCGGCAGACCGGCTCCGTCATCGAGTACCGCGCCGCCTTCGACGAGCAGATGTACCACTTGCTGGCTCTGGATCCATCCATCAACACCAAGTTCTTCATCACGCAGTTCCTTCTGGGGTTGAAGGACGAGCTCCGAGCCGCGGTTCATCTTCAAGCGCCATTGAGCATCACGCGCGCCTCGGTGTTGGCCCGTATCCAGGAAGAAGAGCTGGCCACGACAAGGGCACGCCCACGCATCACACCCTCGGAGCGGCCGCCTCCGACGACCGCAGCACTGCAACCAAGAGCAGCTACACCGAACCGCGCGCAAGGGGACGACTACACGCGTGAGCGGCAGCTCCGTGACTTTTGCCGCGCCAACAACCTCTACTTCAAATGCGGCGATCGCTACTCGCGAGACACCGCTGCGCCCCGCCTGCCCAGCTGCTCACCATCTACGTTGGGGACGACGGTGAGGTCCTCTCCGATGACACCATCCACGCCTTGGAGCTCCTGGACGACCTAGGCCCGGGCGCCCCGTCGCCCGCTTCGGCCGCGGGCGCGCCAGAGTGCTGCCTCCTCTCATCCCATTCGCTCGACAGCACGGACTTGGCTACGACCATCCGTTTGCGTGCATTGGTGGGGAACCAAGTGATGCTGCTTCTTCTCGACTCTGGCAGCACGCACAACTTTGTGAACAAGTCCTTCGTTGAACGCATCGGCGTCGCCATGGAGATGGCGCCGATGGACGTACACGTCGCAAACAGCGATCGCCTCACCTGCAACCGCATCATGCCTGAGCTCAAGTGGTGGATGCAGGGGCACACCTTCGCCACACCCATGCGCAACCTGGAGATCGGCGCGTACGACAACATCCTGCGAATGGACTGGCTCGCCCAACACAGCCCTATGACGTGCCACTGAGAGGACAAGTGGGTCAAGTTCACGCACGAGGGCGAAGAGGTCACGCTCCGCGTCGTGCCAACGAAGGCTACCACAACACTCAAGGCGGTCGAACCCGACGAGCTACGCAAGATGATCACGGGCAATGATGTCTGGGCCATCGCCATGGTGGACCCCTGCGGGCACGCTTCGTCGCCCCCTCGCAAGCGTGTCAGCATCACACCCCTCAGCGATTTGCTGGAGGAATTCGCCGACGTCTTCGCGACACCGCATGGCCTTCCTCCACACCGCCAGTACAACCACGCCGTCATGCTGGTGGAGGGCACGGTCCCCGCGAACACGCGCCCCTACCGGTACTCCCTGCTCCAGAAGGACGAGATCGAGCAGCAGGTCAAGGAAATGCTCGACGCCGGCGTGATCACGCACAGTGTCAGCCCGTACGCAGCGCCGCTGTTGCTGGTCAAGAAGGACGACACGTGGCGGTTCCGCGTCGACTACCGCCGGCTAAATGACGCCACCATTAAAAACAAGTTTCCTCTGCCCGTCGTCGATGAACTCCTCGACGAGCTGGCAGGCGTGGCCGTCTTCTCCAAGCTAGATCTACGTGTGGGGTACCATCAAATCAGAATGCACGAAGAGGACGAATCCAAGACAACGTTCAAGACGCATCACGGGCATTTCTAGTTCCGTGTCATGCCGTTCGGGCTGACGAAAGCACCGGCCACTTTCCAGTGCCTCATGAATGCGATCTTCAGTAAGTATGTGCGCAAGTTTGTTATCATCTTTCTGGATGACATTCTCGTCTTCAATGAAACCATGGAAGAGCACCTGCACATTGTCTTCGAGCTCCTCCGCGTGCACCAGCTGTTCGTCAAGGAAACCAAATGCAGCTTTGCCTATGACCACATCGACTATCTCGAGCATGTGATCTCCAAGGAGGGTGTCGCTACGGACAAAGAGAAGACACATGCCATGGAGCAGTGGCCAATGCCGACGAACGCCACCGAGCTGCGTGGTTTCTTGGGCCTCACTGGCTACTACAGGAAATTCGTGGCGCACTACGACATCATCGCCAAACCCCTCACGCAGCTCCTAACCAAGAAAGGTTTTGCGTGGAACGATCAGGCGCAAGTTGCATTCGACACGCTCAAGAGAGCGATGACAACTACACCAGTGCTCACCCTGCCCAATTTTGGCAAGCCCTTTTTGATCGAGACTGACGCCTGCGACACCGGCGATGGCGCGGTAGTTGTCCAGGAGGGCCACCTCGTCGCCTTCTTCAGCAAGGCGCTTGGCGTACGCAACCAGAAGCTCTCGACGTATGAGAAGGAGTTCATGACGGTGATGATGGCGATCGACAAGTGGCGCCCCTACCTGCAACGCGGCCCCTTCGACATCCTCACCGATCACAAGTCACTCTGCAATCTGGGCGAGCAGCACTTGGAGACAGAATTGCAGTGCAAGGCCATGGCGAAGCTGGTTGGGCTGCAGTTCAAATTCCAGTACAAGCGCGGGTTGGACAACGGCGCCGCAGACGCCCTGTCGCGTGTCGGCAAGCAACTCGGTCTGGCCGCGCTCTCGGCGTGCCAGCCGGCATGGGTTCAGGAGGTGCTTAACTCCTACTCCACCGATCCAGACGCCCAAGATCGCCATCACCAGCCCTGACGACGATGGATACGAGCTGCACCACGGCGTCATCTGTCGCGGCGGTCGGCTATGGATCGACGCCAACACGACGCTCCGCACCAAGCTCATTGTCGTGCTCCAAAACAGCGGTCGGTGGCCACTAGGGTGCCACGGCGAC